GAGGTAAGAGATCAACTGAAACACTTGTATGCATGCATATAAGCATAACCAATGGACGCAAGACATTGGGGGGGAGGGGGTGAGGGCATGTGCTGGGGGAAGGTCAATGGGGAAAAAAAGGAGACATATGTACTACTATTTGTAATACTTTAAACAATAAAATAAAATTAAAAAAAAAAAGAATGTCCATCATTGTGCAATCAAGAGTCCCAGAATAGTAAAGTGATCTTTGAAGGGCTAGTGGCTAAGAATTTTGGCTAAGAATTTTAGAGAACATGAAAGATACAGGATATTGGCATATATCAAGGATAAATAAAAATAAATTCACACTTCCAAATATTATAGAGGCCCAGTGCACGAAATTCGTGCACAGGTAGGGTCTGTAGGCCTGGCAGGCGATTAGGGCCAATCAGGGCCTTCTGGCTGCCGGCCGGGGCCTTCCTTCATTCCGTGCCGCCCCCTGGTGGTCAGTGCACATCATAGTGAGCGATCAGTCTCCTGGTCGAACTCCCGTGGGGACAATTTGCATATTAGGCTTTTATATATATAGATAATCTAACACTAAAGAAATATTATTTAATTAAAAGCAAACAAAGATAAAAGATAACTTAAAAAGTCAGATGCTGATTTCTGGCTGAAATGATTACAAAGATTATTAGCACTTTTTAAAAAATAGATTATCTAAAAAAGTGATAAACTCCATTTATAAGTTTAACTACTTTATCAGAAAACTACATGTACAAACTCCTATAGTTATTTGTGTGAATAAGTTCTGATGTTCTTGCTACAAGTTATTGCTTTTGATAATACCAAACTCCCTCTTAAAAATCCTCGGTGATTAGGAAACTTGCAAATTTCAAGGAATCTGAAACTTAGTTCAAACTTCTTACCTAGGAAATATTTTTAAGCTACCCTTTACTCACATTTTTGTACTTTATCGTCTTTTCTTTATATCTGCGAAGGTTATAAATAGGACTCCTCCAACAGTGCTCTGGTGTGTTCTAGAAACATCCTGTCTTACAAATTAAAGGTGTCCACAACCTTATATCCAATTTTTTTTAAATCAATTTTTAATCTGGCAGTAAAAGGTGAAGGCAATAACAACGGGAGAAAGAGGACATCCACCACTTTAGTAACTGTATTTTCGTTGTGGATATGACATTCTTAGTCTCATCTACAAAATGCAGAGATGCAAAAACATAATCACTGCTTTTAGACCCTACAGACTGGCCAGAGGAAATGGACCTCTTTCACTACCTCGCACCCTTACAGACCCACTCTACCTTGCACTTCTAGTGTCTGTCCTTCTTTTCATCTTTCTGCATGGAAAGTCCCTTCCAGTTCTCTACCTGTATAGTCACTCACCTGCCCACTTCTCACCCCTTTATTCAAGTCAGTGAATGCCCTCTGTGTGTCAGGCATTGTGGTAGGTTAACTTAATGCCCTGACCGGTTTGGCTCAGTGGATAGAGCATCGGCCTGCAGACTGAAAGGTCCCGGGTTCGATTCCAGTCAAGGGCATGTACCTTGGTTGCGGGCACATCCCCAGTGGGGGGTGTGCAGGAGGCAGCTGATCGATGTTTCTCTCCCATCGATGTTTCTAACTCTCTGTCCTTCTCCCTTCCTCTCTGTAAAAAATCAATAAAATATATTTTTAAAAAAATTAACTTAATAAATGGTACATAGTACTTCAAAGATATCTACATTTTTAACAGGTAAGTTGGCAGTAAAATTTCTTATTTGGTTAATTTTTAAAAATATATATTTTTATTCATATCAGAGAGGAAGGGAGAGAGAGAAATAGAAACATCAATGATGAGTGAGAATCATTGATCTGCTGACTCTTGCACGCCCCCTACTGGGGATCGAGCTGGCAGCCTAGGCATGTGCCCTGACTGGGAATCAAACCATGACCTCCTGGTTAATAGGTTGATGCTCAACCACTGAGCAACACCAGCCGGGCTTGGCTGTTTCTTAATGGGCTAAATTTCTTGAAATATTCCATATTTCATAGAAAAAAAAAAGTTATTTGCTATGGCATAGCAATGATTTGGCCGGTCTATTTCTTATATGCAGGCATATACAGTATATCTTTCCCCTCATTTTATGGGAAATGAACTAATGCTATGATATATTTTTATTGAAAAGCAATATAAAATAGTTTTAGAAATAAGAAGGTAATGTTTTACATTATTTCTTCTATTATGAGTTTTTTATATTTTGTGTCAGAATTTACTTCCCATAACTATTCTTGCTTTAGAACATTTTATATTGGATTGTGACATTATTAAATATCGATTAGTGTTTAATTTAGACGAGCTTAATAAACTGCTAATCTGAGAATAATGGTCTTCCCCTTGTTTTTTAGACCTTTTTTCTGAACATGCTTATTTATGTACATTGTGGAAGTCTGATCCTGTTCTTCTCTTCCAATTAGCCAACAGTTCTTTTTGTACCTCTTCTGGAAGTTCATAGAAAACTGTAGGATCAACATCAGAAGGAAAAGTAATTTTCTCAGCAGTACAATCTTGCTCTGTATTTTCTGCAAGTCCTTCATGATCAGACGCCTCAGCTGTCGGTTGCTTATGCCTATCTGTAGTGCGGTTTTTGGAGAAAAGTTGCTCACTCTGAAAATTTGGAAATGAATGAAAAACAGATACAGTGGGGTTTGTATTTGAAAAGTGGAATCCTTGAGACTTTTTAGGTCCTTGACTCATTCGTTCATCTTTTAAGCTACTGTCTAAATAATGTGAATCATCCTTTTGGCTGGACAGGTAAGAGGAACTGTTATTTAAGCCTGAGGTTCCTGGTTCACTGTTATTTAAGCCTGAGGTTCCTGGAGACGATGAGGACATCTGTTTGCTATTAGATAAATTATCTCTAGGATTTAAGGGACTATCTTGCATTTGTTTTGGAGAAAAGAAAGATAATATTCCTCTAGAGGCCTGTAATGGAGAACTCAAACTTCCTTTCCCTTGAACTTTTTCTCTAGATTTTCCAGACAGGATTTCTTCTTGAATATCTACTGGAAGCTGTTTAAAGACTTCTTGGTCAATACCCTCAGGAAGTGAGCAGAGTGGGAAATCATCACTGTTTTGATCTTTAGAAAAACTTAGTGGAGACTCCCCAGTTCTTGGACTTTCAATTCTTCCAGTTGGTAGAAAATCCCAATTTGTTTTTTTGTCTTTCGAAAAATCCTCCATTTGAGTATCTTTCATTTTCTAGAACACAAGGATAGCACAATAATTTAGATATCTCTTTAAATATTCATGTTGCTGAAGTGTGAATATACCTTATTATCTGACCAACGTGTTTCTATCCTACTCAATAAGTTCAACCCTTTGGGTCAGCTCCCAACAACTAGAGATGACTAATCCACCGCAATTAGTCACACTACTGTGTGCATCTTTACTCACTATTCCAGGAAGAGGTTTACTTCATAGATAGCACTGAGCCAGAAGGTAGGCATGCATTTAGAGACCTGGAAGGGATCTTAACAACTGTAAATTCAAACTTCCAGTTTTGTGAATAAAAGAATGATGGCCTAAAAAAGTAAGTGATTCGCCAAGGGATAGCTAAATATTTAAGTATATATGTATAAATATGTATTTATAAATATTTATATGTACGCATAGAGCATCCCTATTCTAAACTGTAACATTTAATGGAAAGGAAAAATATACACTTTCATGGTGAAAATCCAACATCATTATTAAGATACTAGAGGCCCGGTGCACAAAAATTTGTGCACTCGGGGGAGTCCCTCAACCAGGCCTGTGCCCTCTCGCAGTCTGGGACCCCTCAGGGGATGTCCACCTACTGGCTTAGGCCTGCTCCCTGGGGGATTGGGCCTAAGCTGGCAGTCAGACATCTCTCTGGCAGCCTGGGAGCCCTTGGGGGATGTCCACTTGCCAGCGGGGAGCAGGCCTAAGCTGCAGTCGAACATCCTTAGCGCTGCTGAGGAGGCAGGAGAGGTTCCCACCACCACCGCTGTACTGGCAGCCGTCAGCCTGGCTTGTGGCTGAGCAGAGCTCCCCCTGTGGGAGCGCACTGACCACCAGGGGGCAGCTCCTGCATTGAGCGTCTGCCCCTGGTGGTCAGTGTGTGTCATAGTGACCAGTCATTCCCAGTCGTTCTGCTGTTAGGGTCAATTTGCATATTACCCTTTTCTTATATAAGATAGAGGCCTGGTGCATGGGTGGGGGCTGGCTGGTTTGCCCTAAAGGGTGTCCTGGATCAGGGTGGGGGTCCCGCTGGGGTGCCTGGCCAGCCTGGGTGAGGAGCTGAGGGCCATTTTCAGACTGGCCACACCCCCTTCAGGGTGGGGGTCCCCGGTGGAGTGCCTGGCCAGCCTGGGTGAGGGGCTGAGGGCCATTTTCAGGCTGACCACACCCCCTTCATGGTGGGGGTCCCCGCTGGAGTCCCTAGCCAGCTTGGGTGAGGGGCTGATGGCTGTTTGTAGGCTGGCCACAGCCTCTTCAGGGTGGGGGTCCCCAATGGGGTGCCTGGCCAGCCTGGGTGAGGGGCTGATGGCTGTTTGCAGGCTGGCCAAGCCCCCCAGTGGGGACCCTCACCCCATGAGGGTGTGGCCCGCCTGGGTGAGGAGCTGATGGCTGTTTGCAGGCTGGCCACAGCCCCCAGCCACCCAAGCTCCCAGTGGAGGCTAGCTGGAAGCAGGTATCTGGGATTTATTTGTTTTCTATAATTGAAACTTTGTTGCCTTGAGCAGAGGCCACAGCCAGCCAGGGCAGGCAGGAAGCTTGGCTTCCTCCATCGCCGAGGCAACCAAGCCTCCTGCTTGCTCCAGCTCCGTGGCTGCTGGCGGCCATCTTGGTTGCATTTAATTTGCATATAGTCAATCTGATTGGCTGGTGGGCGTGGCTTGGGCATAGCAGAGGTGTGGTCAATTTGCATGTTTCTCTTTTATTAGATTAGATAACACTTTTCAAAAAATTAAATTTATTGGGGTGACACTGGTTAATAAGATTATATAGGTTTCAAGTGTACAATTCTATAATACATGATTTGTATTTTATATTGTGTACCCACCACCCAAAGTCAAATCTTCCTTCACCATATATTTGACCCCCTTAACCCTTTACTAGCCCTTTTATATATTCATGAAATAAAAATTTAAAAACACCTTCAATTCTAATTTGCATAGTTTTTACGTAAAATTTTTCACTTAAAATTTTAAGCACCATAAAAATGTATACACAGTCAAATATAATTTATCAACACAATAACTTCAAAATAAAAGAAGAAGAGATTCGGGCCATTGCCAGACACACACAAGGTGCTTTCACTTATATTTGCCACTCTAATACCACTGTAAATTAATTCTCATTTTACAGATTACAAAGCAAAAAGTCAGCACCTTTTAAAATTTCAGTTAATAGACGGAATAAAATTGGTCAGAGAAAAATAGTAATTTGAAGAGGGCACTAATTCATTATTTCTGTAACACTATTCTGTTCTCATTTTAAACTTATATGTAAATAAAATATTACTAAAATTATACTAACTAATAAATAAAGAAAATAATAAAAACACTTTAAGAATTGTAGACATGAACAATTTAGTAAAAGACGATTATTTTTTAAAGAAGCCCACATTTAGTAAATAGAGGTTTGCTAAAGGGCCATACACAGGGCTTTGTTTTAGTCATCTGAAAATATGACTGGCCTTTGCCTCTCTACTGCCAACCTCTTATTTCTACAATTATAAAATTAGCAGTCATATTCTATCAATATTGCTATCAGAATTCAATTTAATGTCAAAACCAAGAAAACTTAAATGCTTTAACAAACACTGAGGGGGGTGCTGGTAGCTTATGTATAAATTAACAGACAAAATAAGTTGATTTCTAGTATCTAAAAATATTTTCATATGTATGAGCTAATCATCATATTCCTGTATATTGTTATAAAATGTTTCAATACTTCCAAAACAGGGAATCTCTATAATGGTTTTCTTTTTTACCCAGTGATGCTTATGTTTTCTTCTTGATCATAATACTGTATACTTATGAGTAGCAACTGTAATATGATAGGTATTATATAAATATGTAAGTCACTCAAAAAAATATAACCCCAAAGAAACTCTAAATTATATCCGTTAAACACAAACTGAGACCTGTAATTTAATTACACAAATCCAGTAACAGTGTACTTACAAAACTGCGCTTGCCAGAGCATGAAGTTGTTGATAATGATGGTGTAAAATAATAATCAATAGTCCCTTTCTTAGTAGTATTTAGTGATTTAAGGTTGCAGAAGCACACACTTAAAAGGGTAAGATGAAATGGCATCTTCACATTCACCATGCTTCGAAAAAGTTTCATAAGTATGTCAACCATTGGCGTCATCACATCATAACTTCCTAAATAAAATGTTTAAGAAGAGAGTATCTAAACACATTATAAAATAATTAACATTAAGAGTTTAATATAATTTAAATTAAAATCCTAAATAGATATCTTTGGGACATTTTGACAGTATATATGGAAACTAGGACATCTCAACATTACTACTAAATGCCAAATGAGTAAAAGTTTCCAAAAGAGTTGAAATATGGAATATCTGATTAAGGTAGTAATGATCTCAAAAAATATCCCCCTGTGTTATGCTCTCACATCAATGTTTCTCTCTTCTCCCTTCATCTCCCTCAGAAACCAATAAACGATTCTTTAAAAAAAAACCAAAAAACACCTAAAACAAGCAGAAAGAAGAAAACAACAAAGTTGAAATAAATAAAATAGAAAGAATAAAAACAGAGAAAACAATGACAACAAAAGTTGGGTTTTAAAAAAGATCAAAATTGACAAACCTTTGCTAAAATTACAAAGGAAATAAGAGAATACATAAATTACCCAAATCAGGAATGAAAGAGGAAACTCACTACAGACTTCACAAAAATTAAAAGAATTATAAGGGGATATTAACAACTTCATGACAACAAATTAGACAACTATGATGAAATGCATATATTTCTAAAAGACACAAATTACTAAAACAGACTCAAAATAAATAGAAAATCTGGATAAACAGTTAACAAATCAAATTTCTACTTTAAGATCTTTCTACAAACAAAAGCCCAGGACCATGAATACCCAAAACAATTTAGAAAAAATTAAAGCTGGAGAACTTACACTACCTAATTTCAAGAAAGAATCAAGATAGGGTAGAACTGGTAAAAGGATAAACATATAGATCAACAGAATAAGAACATCAAGAAATACATTTCTACAACATGTTTAGTTTTTTACAAAGGTGTAATGACAGTTCACCGGGGAAAGAATAGTCTTTTCAACAAATTCTGCTGGAACAAATGAATACCTACATGCAAAAGAATGAACTCAGACCCTTACCTTATACCACACATAAAAATTACTCAAAGTGGGTCTAAGTTTAAAGCTCAAAACTTTAAAATTTCTAAAAGAAAACATAGAAATGCCTGTGACCTTTGATTTAGGCAAATAACTTTTAGATATAACACTAAAAGCACTATTCATAAAAGAAAACACAAACACAATGAAATACCACTACACAGCCTTAAGTATGACTATCATAAAAGAAACTGATAATACTAAATGTCAATGAGAATCTGAAAAAACTGGAATGCTCATACACTGTTGATGAGAATGTAAACTGTTATATCCACTTTGGAAAAAATTTAGCAGTGTCTTAGAGTTCAACTTACCATAAAACCCAGCAGTTTAACCAAAAGTATATACCCACCCAATGACTTGCCAGCATCATTTTTCATAATAGCCAAAAAAATTGGAAACAATCTAAGTGCTCAAAAAGAAGTTATCTCATGCCATATAATTACAACAGTCTTGTTTTTTCTGAACTTGGGAAGCATTCTTAACTGAGTCTTTACTTTTATAATCTATTAAACAACAACAAAGTTTTCTAGTGAAAATTTCTGATAAAGAGTTTAAATAGCTCACTAACCCCCTGTGAAAATCCTCTATCTATGGATCATATTTCTAATTCAAAATTTGTTCTCTTAAGAGTCTAATTAAATTATTAGAAAATTAGCCCATACCTGTCCCTAACTTCTGAATTATGTGGGATGGAATAGAGCACTGACGACTCTCACGGCTACAGTGCTTCTCAGATGAATAGCGACGGATTATTAATCTTATTGTATGTGGCTTCCTTCCATCTTGGCATACTCTAAAAATAAAGAGAAAGGGGAAACAGCAATTTGAAAAATATTACCTAAAGATTTAAAAAAATTGTCAAGTTAATTTATATAAAGATGACAGATTTAGTAACTAAAACAATTATACAGTTGATAAGTAGGCAGTAAGCAATAAAAATCCTTGACTAGCCCAAATAAATTATGCAAAGTCTACACACTAATGCTCTGAAATGTTAAGTATAAGGCTCTCAGGCCTCACTCAGAATTGAGTGCTATCAGAAAAAGAACAGAAATAAGGCATAATTATAACAAGCAATTTTATAATCCAAGTCCAAATTATAACCAAAAGCAAACTATTAAAATTAGCAGGAAATTAAAGAAACAAAGAATCATTCACTGACAGAAACAAATATATGAAAAGTGACAGATTTTTACACATATTTTAAAAATACAGGATCACAAAAAGAAAATAAATTAATGAGATTATTTTTGTCAAAGAGCATTCCCCAAATAGATCCAAGAGAGCCAATAATAATGTCACCAATATGTTCCACATTAAGCAATAACTTGAAATATCAATTATATATTATACTTAGGAAGTACATGTACATGCATCCTAAAGAGCGTTCCATCCAGCCCTGGCCAGGTAGCTCAGTTGGTTAGATCATCCTCCTGATACACCAAGGTTTAAGGTTTAATGCCCCATCAGGGCACATACAAGAATCAACCACTGAATACATATATAAGTGGAACAAATCAATGTTTCTCTTTATCCCCCTTCCCTTTCTCTTTAAAATCAATAAATACAAATTTTTTTTTAAAAGTTAGTGTTCCATACAAATGGTCTTGGTTTTGGATGGAACACTAAAACAAAGGTTTTAATGATATAGATAGAAAATTCACTTAAAGAATAGAAAAATCTAATTAGAGAAAATACATGTCATTAAAGAATACATTTTCCTTTTTATCTGTATGGCAATGAATTAAAAATCAAGTACAAAATAAAAATATTTTACACTGTTAAATATACTCAAATTAAGTATTTTGAATTAGAAAATTTAGATTTCTGTAATAAATAATTTTTCTCTTATCACAAAATATCTTGATTGCTGCTTTACTAAAATAATAAATATCTTAAAGTTTCTGTAAACATATTACTAATTTAAATATTTTCCAGTTAAACTTGTTCTAATAAGTCAATATGCAATTAAAACACAGTGATTTGATTCCTATAACTAATTAAGACATACTATAAAAAGGTTACATTCTAAGCAATCTTGAACTATTGCCTAGAAATTGGATTAAAAATTAGATGATTTTATACCTCTTACATATCTACATATACTCAAGAAGAAAAATACATTCACACACGATTATTTTTTGCCAGTCACTTAAAAGGTATTACACTCAATCGCTGAAATAAGGGGCCATGGTAGAGAAGAGAATGGCAAGCAGAGATAAGGATAAACGGTTAATGGTATCGCACAGGCTTACAGCACCTAGACTCATTTCTGGGTTGATTCTTCAAATAAGAGAACCTATAAAAGTTGTAATTCCTGTGATTTTTCTATGTGCGGAACTATTTCTAATGGCAGGCTGTTCATAGTAGTCTTCTATTTAGTTGAAGCAATGCAGATGACCCACTTTCACAAGCATATTCACGGGCCCAGCATGAGTCATATCACTGGAGCTGGGTCATTGGCAGCCCCACTTGCATGCAGCAAATGGTGAGCTGCACAGCTTTGCTCACAACATGAGAAGCACACTGCATGTGACAGCAAAGTTGTAGGAAATTTCACTTCATCCGTTTCTGCTACTTAGACTCACCCAAAAACCTTTTTCTCTAGTCAGTCAGTCATCCAGGCATCATTAGAGAAGCACACCTACCTATCCAAAACTGTTAGACCCGTGACACCCCCTTTTGAGAAATCAAAGAACTGAGAGGAACAGAGACAATACTCTTTTACGGAGTATTGGAATAGATATATGATGGCAAAGGAGCGTGTCAGATAGGTGCATGTCTTGTTCTGCTTATGCTAGGCAACTTGTATTCTCACAGTCCCAGTGGACACTCTTCATGTACTTACAGACCAGAAGCCTGCACACACTCACATTCACTCTCACTGCTCACACACAGCCCGTTAGCTATGCTTTTGTCTGACTCCATTTTCTTTCACACAGAGTAAGGCTAAGGAGACATAAGGGTTCTTCTGCTTTATCGTTGTTGCTCTTAATAACTACCTATCCTCACCCATTACAAATTTAGAGGTGCAGGAATTCTAGAAAAACAGATAAAACCCCTTTAGGTAACTACCAGCAGCTTTAGATCCACAATATAACCACAATGTTACTAAAAACCAATGGAACTAGATGGATTAAATTTATTTAAGAGCATCTGTTACTACCTTTGCAATAGCTTATAATGTAGAGAAATTCAGTGATAAATGATCTACTGTTATACTGATTAGTCTCCAGTTAATCTGTAAATTCCAAGGTACAACATCAAGTATTCTTTCCAGGACAGAATATACAGGATATGGCAAAATGAAAAATCACCTCTTCAAAAGATTAGCAAGTAATTCTTGGATCTTACTTTTAGCTTCGACTTCTGATGAACATTTTTTAAGTGAATCTTCTTCACTAAAGGACTACCAAAAAAGCACACATCAGGATTACTGTACACCAAACAAGCATATACAATTACCAGTGAGTAAGTCAGGTAAACCAACACAGCCTTGACTAACTTACCTCTAGTGCTTACTTTGAACCATTTAGTTCACTTTCATATTAACTTGTTTTTTTCTGCAGGTTATCATACTTCACTAGAAAAGTGCACTGGACGTCAAGAAAATTTTAAAGCTCTAGTAGCAACTCCAAGCTTTACTGTATGATTAACATTGGGCAAGTTATTTAACTTTTCTAACCTACAGTATCCTCATCTTAAAAAACAAACAAACAAACAAAAAAACTAGGGAGGGAGAGGAAGAGAGGAAAAGTTTATAAACAAACAATAGAACTACCTACCTTAAAGGTTTGTGAAAACTAAATGGGCTAATGTACATAAAGTACTTAGTAAAGTGCCTGTCACATAAAAGATAATCAATCAATATGAACTAGGTAATTAAACTTTTCTCCATCTCCTAAATCATTAGACTTCTCTAAAACCAAGACTTTTTAAAAAATTAAAATATTTTGCCTCATATATGCATTACTAGAGGCCCAGTGCACAGGTTCGTGCACCGGTGGGGTCCCTCAGCCTGGCCTGCGCCCTCTCGCAATCCGGGACCCCTCAAGGTATGTCTGACTGCTAGTTTTGGCCCAATCCCCATAGGCCGAACCCGCAATCCAACATCCCCTGAGGGATGCAGTAGTGCGCAAAGCGGCAGGCAGCTGAGGACCCCGAAGAGCCTCCCTCCGCTCATCCCAGCCCCACTGCGCCTGCAGCTGCTGCTCGGTAGAGCTGCACAGAGGCGGGAGAGGCTTGCATTGCCGCAGCTGTGCCTGCCAGCTGTGAGCCCTGCGCCTGGCACCCGTTGGTCAGCTGAGTGGCATTCCCGCTGTGGGAGCGCACTGACCACCAGGGGGCAGCTGTGTTGAGCGTCTGCCCTCTGGTGGTCAGTGCGCGTCATGACTGGTCGACCAGTCGTTTGGTCACTCAGGTTTTATATATATATAGATAGGCTATTGGCTAACTTGAGATTGAAATACTAATTCTTAGATTCAATTTAAGAATATTTATTAATATAATAAATTAGCTTCCTCACAGGAAAGGGATCATGTACTGACCTAACAAACCAGATTAGTGAAAACAGCAATAACTAGAAATCTTTCTCAAATAATGTGACAACCAGTAAGTACTCAAGTGAAATGTCATTATGCACCTGAGGTGGTCCTGAGGGTGTTACAGGGGAGTTATCTTCTCCAAAACTGAGCTTCTGGATACGCTGAGCAATGGAAATTCCTAATTCCTTTTCTAATATTTTGGATGAAAAGGTCTGAAGATCACGCACACTACTGATACCCAGTGCTTCCAGGCGTTTGGCAGTTTTATAGCCAATACCTAAACAAAAAGAAATGCATAGGGTGTTACAATAGCTTTTCTCCTTAAAATAAAGCTAATTAAAATATTATCATTCCTATAGCAAGCATATCTTTAAATTCCATAACGAATATTTTTTTTTTATATATTTTATTGATTTTTTACAGAGAAGAAGGGAGAGAGATAGAGAGCCAGAAACATCGATCAGCTGCCTCCTGCACATCTCCCACTGGGGATGTGCCCGCAACCCAGGTACATGCCCCTGACCGGAATCGAACCCGGGACCTTTCAGTCCGCAGGCCGATGCTCTATCCACTGAGCCAAACCGGTTTCGGCAAATTCCATAACGAATATTTTGCTAAGATCAAAGTTCATTAAAAATTAGATTGTTCTTCTTCTGCTCAGGGCCTGTGAGTTATATGAACCACTTTGCAAACCTAACAGCCCTAATATATTTAATATAATATAATAAATATAGAGAGAACCAATAAATTCAGTCATGATAAAATGAGATTTTTACCACCTGTTAGATACCATTGTGGAAGTTTTCAAGGATCATGGTGATTTTTCATATAAAGAAAAACTGTCATCAGAGCAATTGAAATTAGCATGTGCTTATTAGTTAATCTAACTGATTTCTATACACACACCAAATATTTATCTACAAGTCATATCTGGCAATATTTACCATCCACATATAATTAAGAGCCAGAAAACAAACAAACAAAAAATTCTCATTGGCAAAACTCCTATCATACAGTTTTTTGCAGGAAAACTCAGTCATATTTTATCACAGGAAAAATGTTCAGGCAATTTAGTACCCCTTTACTCCTCTCATTTAAATAAAATTAATTCTTCAGTTATCTGGTATCCTTGAACAGTAAAAGAAGTAAATCAAAAGCAATGGTGGTGTAGAGGATATTATTAAAGTGGAGTGACAGATATTTTCAAAGCTGAAATAAAAGAGAATGGGCAAGTTGGCAATATGGAAGAAAAGAGAATGCCTGTTTAAAATAAATACAAGAATTCAAAGAGTAAAGCCGAGTAATAGTGTTAAGTATCAGTATACAATCCTCAATGTATTACAACCTGACATAGTAATTGTTCTTCAAAACACAGATTCAGATTCATCCAAAAAGTTAACAATTGTAATACTTAAGGCAAGGCAGTGAGTAACACATTTTGGAATCACATAAACACAGGTTAAATATGTGAAGAAATCTAAAGATTAAGTTTCAGTTGTCTTAGAAATTCACTTCCATAGAATTCTATTATAACATCTTTGTCCCCAGCAATGACACAGAAATGAAATTTAACATACCCATTATTGATGGTCTATGAAAACCTAAATATTTGATCTTCAAGGGTACAAACTTGCCCCAAGACCTGAATAGATCACCGAACCCTTCAAAAAATCAATTTCCTCATCTTTAAAATAAAAACTTTGCTTAAGTCTTTGGAAGGTCCCTTGTAGTCTAACATCTTATATACTAGTAACCCGGTGCACAGATTTGTGCACATTGAAAGGAAATTAAATAGAATATTTTAACATCACTATTCGCCCTTTCTCTATAATAGAAGTGTCAACCAAATTCACAATCGACAATGACAGATTGAAACACGTGTGCGATTGGTGCCAATGAGAGCTTTATATATATCACACATGCGTGAGTCAACTTAGCCTTTTATATATATAGAACAAACTTGCTTAATTAAACTTTTTCCAGCCCAGTAAAGCACCCCAACTTCTCTTTCAGGTAATTGTCAGCAACACAGCAGTAAATATCAACACGAAGCAGATTATTGTATATCACGCAGGTGGAACAAAAGGTAAAATATTTAACAGTAGCAGTGTTTGACTATATTCTGCACAGTGAGAAAACCTGAAGTCATTTTTAAGTTCCACCATTTTCTTCTTTTCAGTCAGGTCAAGTTTCTAAACTTTCTAAATCTCCGTTTTCCAGCTAATGAAAATAGGATTCCACTGAGTCTCCTATCTACCTACTCCAGGACTTCTGTGAGAATCAAATGAGATGAGGCACGTGAAAACGCTTCATAAACATTTGGTTAAATTGTAAAATGTTTGTACCTGGCTATAAAGCAAGTTGGGTTCCTGGGCTGAAAAAACTCCAAGGAGTCTAGTCGCTAGGGAGAGGAAACTGGGTGTTGCTACGTGATGTCATTACCCGACCGTTTCTGGGCTGGGGTGGGCTGTGGGCCACATTTTGCACCATGGGGTCTTGGCAGCGTTGGCTGCGATTTGGTGGGGTGTCACTCCAGGATGGTGGTGGGGCCTGTGTCCTACATGGGGGAAGCTGAGTGTTTGTCTGTCAGTGCCAGGTCCGTGGTGCCATTTAATTTTAAGCGGCCAGTGCGCGTCATGGCAGCTCCTGCATTGAGTGTCTGCCCCCTGGTGGTCAGTGCATGTCATAGCTACCAGTCGGATGGATGGACACTTAGCCTTTTATATATATTGATATTCCTCACATAGAGTTAGTAAAAGACCTCTTTAGATGCAATGTACAGTATAAGATTATGAACCAGGGATTGGAAATAAAGGACTATACACTTCCAGGTTATAGCTTTCATGATCATATTCAAACTATACAAAAGTAGGTGAAACTAGAAAAGTACTTTTATATATTTCCCAATACAGATGTCCTCCAAAGAACATTAGCTTGTTTGGTTTTCTCCAAGAGTCAAGTACATAGGCTCTAAGAATTAACTACATGTTACCTAATAATAGACAAACATGTAAATTGACCGTCCCTCCACCACACGCACCAGGCAATCAGGAAAGTATGCAAATTAACCCAACAAAGATGGCAGTTAATTTGCATATGTAGGCACGAAGCGGCAGAGTGAAGACTGAAGGCTCCGGCCAGAGCGAAGGCCTGGGTCCCAGATGCCGGAGGAAAATTGGTGCCGGCAGCCAGGGGAAAGGAAGGCCTATTACATGAATCTCTTCGTGCAACGGGCCTCTAGTATATATATAATTTTTAAAAAAAATACAATAAAATATATACTTTTCAAATATATGTGTCTTACCAGGCATTTCCTTTATGTGTTTCAAACTATGAATGAGATCTTGAGAACTTTCAGGTAGTAAGACTGTTTGTTGATTTGGTTTAAAGATGCCAGAAACTAATTTTGCCAGTAATTTATTGGAAGCTACTCCAGCACAGCCAGTGAGACCCAGCTGATTGTACATGGCTTCCCGCATCTCTGCCGCAATCTGAGATCCAACAAGTAGTTTGATGTGCAAGACATCATGCAGGTTTATAGCTATAAAAATAGCCAATGTCATTAAAAAAACCACAAAACAATTTAATTTCCCTTTTTACGAATGAGTTTTATTTACAAATGAGGGTTTATTTAACCTAAATTCAATGTCCCACCACCACCATACTGCCACCCACTTAACTAATCTGCTTTGTTCTTCACTGGAATTCTGTTAAGTAAGTAAATACAGGGAGTGAACTCCAAGGGCCTGTGATAGAGAATGCACAGACGTGCTTAATAATGCACAGACATGCTTAATGATGAACAGATTATAAAAATTCATCTCTCATGAAAAATTCCTACTGACATCAGTAGAACTTTTACATTCCTGTTTACCTGTAAGTAAGCATAAAAGTATTGCATAAATAAGACAGTCAACATTACAGTTTTAAAGAACTGAATCTAAACTTTATGTACTGGCTGTATGAAAAACAATTTTAGATCTGTCCATATTTAAGAGATTTCTTATGAAAAGTGCAGGGAAATTATCTAGAAACAAATTTTCTTAGGTGTGAAAATGGTCTTACAATTATATGAGACAATCCTTATCCTCAAGAGTACTTACAAATGAAGTGTTATATTGCAATTTACTTTCAAATGGCTCGTCAATCAGTCAACCAGTCAATAAAGAGCAAGATAAAGCAAATGTGAAAAATGCTAACAGTAGTTGTATGGACAAGGAGTGTACAATGAGTGTTCTCATTGTATTATATTCTGTCAATTTTTCTGGGCAGAAAAAATTTTAACAAAAATTGTGGGGAATAGGAAGAATTCATGAAGAATTAGACATTTCCTTTTTAGGTTATAAAACCTGGCTCTCTGTATTATGTTCCAACCAATGAAGTCTGAGTTTGCTCTAAGAATTACATAGAAACCTATTTGGAACCTTCTTGCTACTTAGTCTTTGTAAGTGACAAGAGACCACAGGTATAAAAGATGGAAAAGCTTCATGTCGTCTTCTAGAAGAGAATTGTAGCTCTCCCCCTTTTCTTTAATATCAGGGAGGTGGAGAACTAGATGGGAGATTGATCCCCAGCTCTCAAAACACAGGGATAAGAGGAAGCACATGCTGAAACCTAGGAGCAAGATGGTTTCTTACCAGGGCAAGTCTTACACAAAGCAGAGTAGCTTGTCTTCCATTGGTATAATGTGGAAGTCACCAGCAGAGTTGCATATGTTCAAAGTCTAATTAAAGAGTCACTAGAGCTCGGTGAGGGAGCCCGCCTTCCCTGCCCAGCTTTCAGCCAGGGCTCCTGGTCCCTCCGAGGGGCTGTGGGCCCCGGACACGGGCCTCCCCGCCTGGGCTCTCATAAAAAAAAAAAGTCACTAGAGATATTGCAGCTGATTTTCAAATGCAAATGTCTCTGGAAATACCATCAGCCATTAATACTTTAATCTGAGAAGGAAATGAACCATCCTGCTTTCATGCTAACAGTTGGCAAAGGTTATCTGAACTAATGAACTAGAAGCTTGCAAAAGATGGCAGGTAGGCCTGGACGAGCTTCCACAAGGGTTAGCTCAGGGGACAACATGAGGGTTTTGGTGCCTTGGGGGACTAGAAGCAAGAGGGGACAAAATCAAATTTATTCGGTCTACCTCAAAATCTTGCTTAAAGATCGTTTTAAGAGAATAAAAAGTTATTCTAAAAAGTATATTATCAAGCCAACTCCTGTAACTTAAGAGGTATGAAAGTTAAAAATGATAATGCATGGACCATGTCAGAGAAATGAAAAGTGCACAGAGCATTGAGCTACATGAGCAACACCTAATTTTAGCCATCTTAGATTACTGAAATATGGCTATACCTCCAACAAAAGCCATAACATTTTCAGAAAGTCAATTAACTTAACTCACAGAATATTAAGCCGAAGAACATATAGGCATAACCCACAGACACAGACAACAATAAGGTGATGGCCAGAGGGATGGGAGGGGCTGAGGGATGGATGGAGGTAGGCAAAGGGGGGGGGGTAATGGGGACATCTATAATAGTATCAACTATAAAAAATACAAAAAACAAAATACTAAATAGGATAAATAAGAAACCACTTACCCTGATTATTGTATACATGACCTGACACAGTCAGTGCTGAAAGGTCATCACTTGGAAGCTGCTGTAGTCTCTTCTCAACCATTTCTGTTAGATCCACAAAATTTTCATCAAATCCAAGTCTCTCAACAACTGGACTAAATTCTTCCAACAACTCTAAATTTAAATAATATTGGAACACAGATGTAACAAGTTATAACTATAATAAATTTATCTATATTATGCTTACCTCAAATATGTTAAAAGTTTTACATATATTCACAGTTCCACAATATCTATATAGTAAAAGCCTAAGTGACTGTTACGGCGGAACAACCGAACGACCAGTCGCTATGATGTGCACTGACCACCAGGGGGCAGACGCTCAATGCAGGAGCTGCCCCCTCGTGGTCAGTGTATTCCCACAGGGGGAGTGCTGCTCAGCCAGAAGCCGGGCTCACTGCTGGTGAGCGCAGTGCCGGTGGCAGGAGCCTCTCGCGCCTCTGCGGCAGCCCTAAGGAGCAGCAAGTCAAGAGGTAAGGAGCAGCAAGCAAGCAGGCAATAAGGAGCGAGGGGTCCCAGACTGCGGACTGCAAGAGGGTGCAGGCTGGGCTGAGGGGACCCCTCCCCCACCCCACTGCATGAATTTCGTACACCAGGCCTCTAGTATTTAATTAAATCCTGTTAACTGGGATTTAAAAAATATATATTTTATTGATTTTTTTACAGAGGGGAAGGGAGAAGGAGAGGGAGTTAGAAACATCGATGAGAGAGAAACATCGATTCAGTTGCTTCTTGCACACTCCCTACTAGGGATGTGCCCACAACCAAGGTACATGCCCTTGACTGGAATCAAACCTGGGACCCTTAAGTCCGCAGGCTGACTCTCCATCCATTAAGCCAAACCAGACAGGGCAAGGGATTTGTTTTTTTCTGTATCACATTTTTAATAAAGACTATATATTTCTAACAAATAAATCCAAAAATGATATTCCCTGGGTAGATACTCATAGCAGATTTAGTGCAATCTCCTATACTTATAGTTACTATATTCTACATTAAACATCAATGGTTATAATCAATTATGATATTGAAGCAGTGGGTCAAAGAATAAATTATAGTCTGCCTAGAAAAGCAAAAACAATAATATATTCTAGCTATATTTTCCACAGGAGTTTCTAAAGCCAAAACAAAAAATTATAATTTCCAATTATTACTGAGACCAAAAGAAAACTCACTTGACTTTCCAAATACACCACAATGCAACATTTTATTTTCTTTTAATTTTTATTTATTTTTAAATATATTTTATTGATTTTTTACAGAGAGGAAGGGAGAGGGATAGAGAGTTAGAAATATCGATGAGAGAGAAACATCGATCAGCTGCCTCCTGCACACCCCCTCCTGGGGATGTGCCTGCAACCAAGGTACATGCCCTTGACCGGAATCGAACCTGGGACCCTTCAGTCCGCAGGCTGACGCTCTATCCACTGAGCCAAACCGGTTAGGGCACAATGCAACATTTTAATTAGCCATTCCCCAACTTATTCCTTAAGGGCAGAGATGGACCATAATTTACATGTATTTGAATGTCTAGCACCTAGAAAAAACCTAGTCCTTAAGTCAAATGTTTACTAAACTGAACTGAACCAAGATTTAATATAAATTCAAAAGGATGATCAATTCTCATTTTTAGGATTAAGATTAATAACAACTTAGAAATCATTGAGAAGAAATTTCATTTCTCTCTGTATTACCTATTGATACCAGCTGGATAGCAGAAAACATTTACTATTTTTTTCATCTCTGAGGCAAATCTTTACAATTTAAGAATATCTAACACTCTCATACCTACTAACAATATGTTGGGACAAACTCATGTGCTACATATAGCAGTATTCAAAATTTTAAATGCAAATTACCTCTGACCCAGCACTCAACTTACTCTTACCTTATAGATACCCCATAAAATTATGCCAAAATTTCCATATGAAAATGTCTACTGAAGCATATATTAGTAGGAGCAAAAAGTTGGTAACAGCTTAATAATCCATCACTGTTGGGAAAACCATAAAATTGATCATTCAGAACAAGACTTTTAAAAATATATATATATTTTTATTGATTTCAGAGAGGGTGAGAGGGAGAGGGAAATAGAAACATCAATGATGAGAATCATTAATCGACTGCCTCCTGCACGCCCCCTACTGGATATCGAGCCTGCAACCCGGGCATGTGCCCCCAACTGGAATTGAACCCGGGACCCTTCATTCCACAGGCCAACGCTCTATCCACTGAGCCAAACTGGCTAGGGCAAGAACAAGACGTTTTTTAATACAAAGAGCTGCTATTAATAATTATGCAGAGACATTAGGCATAAAGTGGGACATACTGTCTTCAGATCACTAGAGGACTGGTTAAATAATATGAAACCAAATTCAATGGAATACTGCAGTCGTTAAAAAGAGTGAGGAGGAGCTATATGAATGGCATGAAAGATCACCAAGAACAAAGGCAAGATGGACAACTCTCTGTATCTTACAATTTCTTCTGTAAATACTAAAAATCAACTTCTTAATATTCAGACACACACTTTTGTATAGATGCACAAGTGCTACTTGGGGAATATAGTCTTGTCTTTTCTGCATGGCTGTCCTTCCTTCCCCCTTCCTCCCATTTTAGCACTGCCTCTTCCACTCCAGAAGGTGACTATTAAAAACTTAGTCCTAGCTGGTTTGGCTCAGTGGATAGAGCATTGGCTTGCTGACTGAAGGGTCCTGGGTTCAATTCCAGTCAAGGGCACATGCCTGGGATGCGGGCTCAATCCCCAGTAGGGGGGCATGCAGGAGGCAGTCGATCAATGATTCTCTCCCATCACTGATATTTCTCTCTCTCTCTCCCTCTCCCTTCCTCTCTGAAATCAATAAAAATATACATATTTTTAAAAAGTTAAAAAGAAACTTAGTATATACCCTCTCATATTTATCTTCCTGTTCATAAATACATATGTACACACATATGTGGGGGAGGGGTTTGTGCTGTTGTTTTATACAAATGAATGTTATACACGTTTTGCATGTTAACTTTTGCCTACTCAACAAGGTATGTATTTATGAGTCAAACATACAGCCCCATGCATTTTCTTTTTAAAAAATATATTTTGTTGGTTATATCACTGGGTTAAAGAATATAATATGTAACTTTAATTTTCTATATTGCTTTTTCATAAAGGCTGTAATACTTTGTTTCTACTTTTTCTCACATCTTTATTTATTTATTTTTTTGCAAGTATGATGGGTATAAAATCATATCTTACTAATTCAAATTTCCGTAGCCAATAATGAATTTGAGCATTCCTTTTTTCCAGGTAATTATTGGACATATATTTGCCCTTTTTGTCAGTTGGCTATTAACATTTTTTGTCAATTTTCTTGAGCATTTTTGTTAGTTTGTTAGCACTTTTATTTATTTATTTATTTAAATATATATTTTATTGATTTTTTACAGAGAGGAAGGGAGAGGGATAGAGAGTCAGAAACATCGATGAGATAGAAATATTGATCAGCCTCGTACTGGAGATGTGCCTGAAATCAAGGTACATGCCCTTGACCGGAATTGAACCTGGGACCTTTCTGTCTGCACGCCTACGCTCTATCCACTGAGCCAAACTGGTTAGGGCTTGTTAGCACTTTTAGTTATCATATTTAACCCTTTCATCTGAAAACTGCTACAAATACTAAACAAACAAACACAAACAGGAGCAAAAATATAAATAAATATAAAGCTAGTTTTTAATTATGTTAAACATTGCAGAAGCCTCTCCCAATTAACATTAATGCATTAACCTATAGCATATCTCTCATAATTAATTTAAATTAAAAATTAAAATATTTGGTCCTGGCTGCAGTGGCTCAGTGGTTGTGTGTTGACCTATGAATCAGGAGGTCACAGTTCAATTCCCAGTCTGGGCACATGCCCGGGTTGTGGCTCGATCCCCAGTAGGAGGTGTGCAGGAGGCAGCCAATCAATGATTCTCATTATTGATGTTTCTATCTCTCCCTCTCTGAAATCAATAGAAATATGTTTTTAAATTAAAATATTTGGCTTTCTTTAGTATATCTTCCCATTTCTTCACTGTTAAATACTGTTTTACATTTCTTATATTTACATGACACCATTCATGAAAGACTTCAAACTTCTTTTAACTTTATATTTTTGGTCAACATTATTTACATAAAGTCATCCTCATAAATATTTCAAAAAGCGGGCAAGACCTAAAATAAAGTTATTAGCAAAAAGGAACTGACTTATGGCAATTTACACTTATTAAAAGACTAGAGGCCCGATGCACGAAATTTGTGCAAGAGTAGGCCTTCACAGCCCCGGCTGCCTCGGCCCTCACAGCCCTGGCTTCTAGACAGTTGTTCTGCTGTTCGGCTGTTCGGTCGATTTGCATATTACCCTTTTATTATTATAGAAGATTCATGTAATGAACAGGCCTCCATTGTAAAAATTAATGCTAAAATAACATTGCCTATAATCTGTACCTGTCACCTTGTATGATATCTCTCTGTAACGCGTCAGGTCTTCTCCATTAACTAACACCAGCTGTGGACACTTTTCTTTGGCATCTCTAACATTCATAAGTTTCTTTACTCCAAGTTCCCTAGCTTCATAGTTGCAGGTAACCACCAAGTATTTTTGCTGAACACCTATAAAAATAAATATTTATGAGAAAACAGAGAATTAAAAAAAATCTTAAAATATAATTTACTCATTCCATCTTATAATTGTAATTTGCAAGGCAATCTGTTTTGATAAAAATAAAAAGCTCTAGCCCAGCCGGTGTGGCTCAGTGGTTAAGCATCAACCTATGAACCAGGTAGCAGTTTGATTCCTGGTCAGGGCACAAGCCCAAATTGCAGGCTCGATCCCCAATGGGGGTGTGCAGGAGGCAGCCAATCAATGTTTCTCTCTCATTGATGTTTCATTCTCTCTCCCTCTCGCTTCCTCTCTCAAATCAATAAAAATATATTTAAAATAAAAAGCTGTATCTTGGTTTAAAAATACAGCATCAACGTTCTATAAGTAAAATTTAACAGAAATTTACCACACATCAATACATTCTATGGAGTCTTCAGCAAAAAATACAAATAAAATCAGTACGGAATTTTTTTCAGGCAATACAAAACCAGAATAATTTATACTGAATTAACTCTATACAACTCTAGACCATGATTTACCAAAAAATAAAGCAAATGAAAAATAACAGTACAATTACTGGTGGCTGCTAGAAAAACTCACTTTTCTGAGTAACTGTCCAATGAATATAAAGCAAAATTCTGTTAACAAGTGCTAACCTACAGCAATTATCAGGGATCTCCCCCAATACATGTTCTAATTATTGAACTATTCTTGCTAGCCACCTACAGAAAAGATTCCACAGTGAGGGGGCATTCTGAGCCCCCTCCTTATCAAAAATGATTAAATCATCATCCACAGCACGTATAGAAATTCTAGTTTACTGAATCTTAGTGGCTTAAGATTACTAAAACTCTACTTTTTCTTTTACGCAAATTGACTACGTGTTTACCACCGTAAAAACAATGTTCACCTAAAACATGGTAAACACAAATATGTAGAAAATAAAATGACTGTGTCAAATTCACCATTTATTAAATGAGGTTTATAGCCGAGACCGGTTTGGCTCGGTGGATAGAGCGTCGGCCTGCGGACTGAAGGGTCCCAGGTTCGATTCCGGTCAAGGGCATATGCCTGGGTTGCGGGCACATCCCCAGTGGGAGATGTGCAGGAGGCGGCTGATCGATGTTTCTCTCTCATCGATGTTTCTAACTCTCTATCTCTCTCCCTTCCTCTCTGTAAAAAATCAATAAAATATATTTAAAAAAAATAAATAAATGAGGTTTATAAAGTTTACACCCGGTAGTGAAGCCAAGATTCTGTCCATAAAGCACCTTAAGAACTGCTTCCAAATCTTTCTAATGTGGTTAATAAATCAGAATACAATAAACATAATAAACGAGTGCTAATCCTCTTAGACAATAAAAACATTATCGACATGCATCATTACCTAAGGGTTTGCCCTTTAGTTCCGGATTTGAGATCATTTCTACTTGTGCATAAAAGCAGTCCAGGTCCACGTGTACTATGACTCTGGATGCAGAACTTCCTGCTGGCACCGCCCGATCATGAACTGATCAAACAAATGCAAAGAAACACAAACATAATATTCAGGCTGCTTATCATCTCTGAGCAACTGGCAGTTCCTCACAACATGGTGACTGAGGGGGAAAAAAGGATGCAGAGTGATTTTAAAAGTCCTTTCCGGGATTTATTACATCTGTCAAAACATCTAAAAATCACAGACATGAGAGCAACTCCATCTACAGTAGGGTCTGCAGCCCTGTTTACTTAGCATTTCTGTGTGCACTGTGTTTTTCTCAAGAAGTAATAATTTTTAAGGGGGGGGGGACGGGTAAAAACTTGATTAATATGGAAGATGCAAGAGGTAATCCTCTCACTTGGGAGTTGATAGTAAAATTCGGGATAAATCGGAAGGGGCAGAAAAGTTTAAACACTGATTTCAACCAACTTAATTATTCTAAGTGGCATGTCCTTACATTAAAAAAAAATCAGAAATACAAAACTGCATTAGATCATGCATGGGGTCCAGTCCAATGGACTATATTTGGCTCCCATAAGAGAAGGACTGAGATTCAGTGCTGAATCGCCAGTGCCTGGCATATAATAGAAGACCAATAAACGCTCGCTAAATTGAAAGAATGCGTAAATATCTCTTGGATTTTAAAAAAATAGCCCATGTCATGGGGGAATGGGGAGGTGGGGATGGAGACATGGGGAAGATGAGACGCCAGCTGTTAACATCAGCTGAAAAATAAGGCAGGTTAGAGGCGATGTGATATCTGGTTTGGATCCTGGGACAGAAAAAAAAATTATAGTGAGAGAAAACCTGGTAAAACGTAAATACAGCTTGTACTTCAGTGGACAGTATTATGCCAATATGAATGTCTTAGTTTTGACAAATGTACCCATGGCGAGGTAAGATAGTAACATTAGGGAAAACTATTTCTCCAACTTCTGCAAATCTAAAATTATTCCAAAATTTTAAAATTTAATTTAAAAAATAAAATAAAAGAGCAGGAAGGAGAGCCCGGGGTTGGGCGATGCCAGGTAGATCCGAGGCTGGACGTGGGTCACCAGAGAGGCGGCCACCGCACACGTGCCTCGTGCTGGGTTCCCAGCCCAGCCCCTCCTTCCAGGACCCCAGCCCCGACGACTGGGGGACAGGGTCCCCCTCCTGCCACTTCCAGCAGCCCGGGAGCCCCTCCGGCTCTCAGGGGGCCTCGCAGGGACCCTACACACACACCCTCAGCGTCTACGAGCTGAAGCCACCCGTCTCGGGTCTCAAAACACCAGGCAGCAGGCAGCCGCCCTCGTGGCAGCGCCAGGAGCCACGCGGGGCGGGACGGTCACACCCCAACGGCCGCCGCCACCGCCCCGGGCGTCCGCCCGCCCCGCCCTGCTCCTCGGGCCCGGGCGCACCCGGCGAGCCGACCCGACACCCCCGCCTCCGCGCCCTTCCATGGCCCGAACCGCGTCCTCTTCCTCGTCGCGGGCGCCTTCCGCCTCGGGCCCCGCCCCCAGCTCCTCCCTCCCGCGGCGGCCAATCGTAGCGCAGCTTCTGGCCGCTTCCGCCCGGTCTCTAGGGAAACCAGGGGCCCGCCCCCAGCCGCCGCAGCCCTGGCGCCTGCGTGGTCTGGGCCGACTGGCCAGTTGCCCGGATGGACGCGCGGTGTGGGAATCGTGTGGATCCACGTGCGGAGGTTTCCTACCGCCCTGGGGAGGCCGGAAGGGAGGAGTTGCGATCCAAACTGCTCATTTCTTTCTTGAGGTCATGGGTGTTAGTGCCCTTTATCTTCACCCAGAGGCCGGCCAGTTCTGCGGGTCCATTGTTAGGAGCATCGCTACCATATAGGCCAGCGGTTCTCAACCTGTGGGTCGCGACCCCTTTGGGGGTCGAAAGACCCTTTCACAGGGATCGCCTAAGACCATCGGAAAACACATAGATAATTACATATTGTGTTTGGGATTAATCACTATGCTTTCATTATGTTAAATTTGTAACAATGAAAATACATCCTGCATATCAGATACTTACATGACGATTCATAGCAGTAGCAAAAATTACAGTTATGAAGTAGCCACGAAAATAATTTTATGGTTGGGGGTCACCACAACATGAGGAACTGTATTAAAGGGTCGCGGCATTAGGAAGGTTGAGAACCACTGATATAGACACTGAACGATTTATGGTGATGGGGGGTGGGGGAAAAGGGGGAAAATGATGGCAAGAGCAAAGGCGGCCATATAAACGAATATGATTAGCAAGTATGTGAAAGTTTATTGGCGTTTTGTTTGTTGTTTGATTCAAAGAGACTACCAGAATTGGAACCCCTGGAATTTTAAATCTAAACTGAATAGGGGAATGTGGAGAACGTGCGTGATACTAAAGTCCTAGCTCAGCACCTTGTTGGGTGCCTTTGGGCAGGTTATGTAACTCCTCTGCGCCTCCGTTTATCTGCTGTAAATAAATAAAAATCCTGGCCTGGCCCGTGGCTCACTTGGTTGGAGCATCTTCCCCTGCACCAAGAAGGTTCAGGTTCCATTCTTGGTCAAGGCACCTGCCTAGATCTCGGGTTCCATCTCCTGGGGGGGGGGGGCACCCAATCATGGTTCTCTCCCCACATTGATGTCTCTCTCTCCCCCTCACCCTCTCTCCCTCTCTAAAATCATTAAACATATCCTTGGGTGAGATTTTCAAAATTATTACAAATAACGTTCTGAGATTAAATGAAAACTAACATATATCTTAATATTTCCACGTATATCACCTGCCTTCTGTTAAGATGTCTTGTGTGCCTGTGTATGTGTGCGTTTCTTCCAAAAGAGGAAATTTGGAAATTGCTGTGTGCGTGTGTGTGTGTGTGTGTGTGTGTACACATATATACATACATTCAAACACGTTGTTCTTTTCACAGGATCTGCTCTTACAAATAGGATGTGAGAACCTTGAGGACACCTTTAAAGGACATGTTGATGAATCCATAAAGGAGAAGAAATAACAGGCAGAGCCCGACTCAGTGGTTCGGAGACCAAGTCTTCCTCTTAGACATCTGGACCAGTTCCCTGAAGGTCTCCATTGTAGGATCTAAGGGACTGATGTAAAACCCCACTGTTTTTTTTTTGTGAACGCTGTTTGATAAGTCCAGGTAAAGAGCTTTTGAATTAAGCGCCTCCTTGGCCACTAAGTGCTTTCAAGGTCCATACTGTAGAAACAGAGTGTTGTTTTTTCTATCCTCATGTCAGATGACCCAAACCATGGAAATACCATGCAGATAAACTGCTCCTCTAGAAGAGTCCTACGCTTCCTACACTCAACTTCAGAAAAAGTGAGTCAGCATGAAAAAAAACAACACACGTAATAAAGCCATCTTTCGTTAGTTTCATTTATTTTCCTGTCAAGTGTCAAATTGAAGGGTGGCTTTTCACTTAGTAGAATAATAGACAACCCTAGGGGAGGGAGCAGGGCCGGCTTGATGAGTGTGCAACCTGAGCAGGAACACAGAGCCCCATGCTGAGACGGGCCCCACACTTGGTTTAATATTCTGCCATTGTCATCTTGAAATGGTTAATATTTGAAAAAGGGAGCCCGCATTTCCGTTTTGCACTGGACCTTACAAATTATTTAGCCAGTGCTGGGAACAGAGAGAAGCGGCATAGAAAACGACACTTATAAAACACCGCACGTCAGGTACAAGGCTCAGAGCTTAAAACAATTATTTCATTCAATATGCCGCAGAGGGTAGGGATCATCATTCTCATTTTACCGAAGATAAAATAGGCCAGCAGACACTAAGCTGCTTAACTCGAGGTTATGCATCTAGTCACGGCAGATCCACTTTTCAGTTTTCCATGGAAGAGAATTCATTAGTTATGTTTCTCCTTTGAAGGAAATCTTTCCCTCTGCCCATTTTTGTTGGTGCTTCGAACACCAGATAACCTGGAATAGTGAGAGTAAACATTCCTCAAATATATTAAGAAGCATCAAAGACTCCGAGGAGCTAATATGTGTTGTTTTGTTGTGAGTTAGGGGAAGTAGGGGACTTTTTGGTTTGTTTATTTTTTAAATGCTATAACCTTCCCTCCCCAGTTTAATCAATAGGCTCTAAACTAAGATAATTTCAGGCAATAAATATGCTAAGGCTGGAAAATAATTGTATATTTAAGTGCAAAATCAAATGCCAGGCAGAATAAATGAAAGGTTTGCTTGAAACAATATTCATGGGGCAGCATGGGGTTTTAGAGTGTAGCTGGTGGACAAAGAAATGGGGGTGTGTGTGTTTTAGAGCTTCAGAAGTCAGGATACATTAAAAGTGACAAGCAGGAACACTCATGTCAGTGCAGGGTGCGAAGGTACCTGCTTCTCTCCTAAGTCCTGAATTGGCCACATGGGGTTCAGAGGACGGACTGTAGACAGCGTTCGAGGGCTTCGACATGAAGAGTGTGAGGGTATTTGTGAGTGTCTGTATTTCATGTTGGTGGGTGGCTAGGTAGTCAGAGGTTGACCATGGGGTCAAAGGGACAATTTGGATTGGCAAAAACACAGAGAGCTTGGTTTTGTAAGATCTTTGGCCTCGTGCAGTGACTCTCAGTCGGGGTCCATTTTGTTCCCTGGGAGATATGTGGCAATATCTTGAACCTTTCGTGGTCACATCGGGGAACTGGAGCTCTGCACTATGGCACCCGTGGGTGGAGGCCAGAGATATTGGTGAATATGCTACAGTGCACAGGACAGCTCTTCACCGTAAAAAATCACCACCCCAAAGTGTCAGTGGGGCCAAAGTTGGGGCGCTCTGGCCTAGTGGTGTTTATACCATCCTGCTCCCCACTCCCTAATGCCCTCCTCAGCTTAAGGTCCCCAGTTGTAATAAAGAATTGGTCTTCAGATATGTGCTTTTAATTATAAATGACATTTTTTAGAGAAAGGAGGATATAAGAGAGGGAGGCAAGTGTTATTTAATTGCTTTTCACTGTGGGAATCTACATTCTGAAACTAAAAAAGCAAATGAATGCATTTTCGAGAAAAGAGATTTAAGAAAAATACGCACACGTTTACGGAGCATGTGAGTTGCCCGTAGGGAGAAAGGCTAATGAGTCAGAAATAATTTACAAGGCTTAGATGCAGAAACCAGAAAACGCAGGAAGGCTTCAGGGGGTTGAAAGCACACTGTAATTATGATGCGCTGCTGTCCAATGTGCATGTCATGCAGTATTTAATAACTTTCTTCCAAGGATCTGAAACTCTGCATAAAAGCTTCAAATGTCTTGAAGAATCTCTCTCCCTCTCTCACTAGAGCTGCAGTTTCCAGCGTTCTTGGTGTAACCTAAAAATATGTGCTGCTTACCATGTGATTGTGGCTAACAGAAGGTGTAAGAAGCTGGCGTTTTTCTAACAGTCAGCTTCTCTGTGCTTTGACCTTTTTGTGGTTCTGCAGTTCTGATGAAAAGCCTGCATAGTCAATTTAGGAACAACCTTTAAAATGTTGCTTGTGAGGGTGTACTCGATGGACTTCGCCTCATCATTTTGCAGAGAGAGGTGGGAACTAATGTGATCACAGTACAAATCATTTGGTCCCAGGCTGTGAAGTCTGCAAACTTCAGTCACTGAGAAAAAGAGAAATACTTGATGTCATATAGAAAGTGGGAGCGGATTAACATAGGTCAGGTATACGGTGCTAAATTCATAGACATCTAACTTTAATGTAACAATTGTACGATCTCTTTCTGATTGCAAAAGTAGCTTAGAATTATTATCAATAATTTGGAAAACAGAAAGAAAATAAGCAACAGAAATAATCATAATAACCCATAATCCTGGTGCTCAGAGATAAGCACATTTTGCCTCTTTATAAGGCACAACTTAAAGTTTTTGTTTCATTTCACAAATAAATTTCTGTACCTATTTCTTTACCAAACCACAAAACCACTGTGAGATGCACTGCCTGAATAAACGACACAGATAAAACTTAATAGACTTGTTTTTGATGTTATTTGAAGGAAATGAATTAATATTGTCTCATCATCTCAGAAATGTTAATAATCTCAATTTTTCTGGTTTAGATTAATATAAACTCTACAAAGGAAAGTGTTTATATTTATAGGATTTATTTCTTGAAGTTGATTCAAAGACTCTATTAAAGTGCGTATTAATCCTGAAAGTACTGCTTGTGCCTCTGATAAAACAAAAAAATTTTTTCAGCCATCATTTAAGATGTTGTAGTGAGACAAAAAGGTATCAGGTACAAAGTGAAAATCCATCCTACTCCCCACTGCACTTTGAGATAACCACTGTTGACAATATATATTAATACTAGAGGTCCAGCGCCCTAAATTCGTGCGTGGGTACAGTCCCTAGGCCTGGCCTGCGATCAGGGCCATTTTCCCTGGCTGCCCGCAGCTGGCCCCGCCCCCTGCCGCCACCCACCCCCAGTTCCCCGTTCACTATCGGGTGATCAGAGCCTGCCG